CATTAAAATCATTTGCCATGGAGGGGGTTAAGAAGATCCTGCATTTAATCATTCTTGATAATACTGTCGTGGCAAATCCGTCTCCACTACATTTCCTGTAATGAGGTTCTAGGGGAAAGAGCACACATTTTCTATATGTATTCTCGATGATCGTTTGAAAAGAATAAGAAATGAAATCCAAGTGAATTTCACTTTGAGACATAAATATTGCCTTGCATTATACAGTCATCGTTTGGGATATCTACTGAAAGATTTGATTTCAGTTGATTTGGGATTTATTCGGTTTCATTCTCAGGAGTTCGGTTTTAAGTTTCTGAAGACCCCCCCTCCTTAAATTAAAGTCTTCAGATTTCCAAGCGTTTTTTTATCATACGATTTCTCTAAGGATCCACGAGCATACTCCAGAATGAACAAGATAACACAGGGATCCCAGCTTTACCATTATATAATGGACGACCTCAGCGGTAAGTACAGATTTACGATATATAAATATATACTTTATATCGTTTAATTGTCATTCATGTTTGTAGAATAACGTGTGTTTAACTGCATTATTGTTACTTCTTGAGATTAATTTCACGTATGTATGTACATGAAAAATTTCTGGGTACCGCGAGGTAAAGAGATAGGGACTTTATTCAAGTACTTTTAGTGTATTTGACGCTTTTCACTCGACCCCTTCCAGCAAAATTTTCGCCCCCGTTTTATTTTCGCGCCTTTCGCCCTATTCAGTAGTTGGACGGTTTTAAAATGGGGCGATTTAAAAAAAAAACAGCATAATTATCTCAAAAGAACAACAATTGTATGACCGATGGAATTTAAAACGGGAAAAAATTCTTAGCAAGTGAGAAAGAGCGTACGGTGGTGTATTTAGGACACGCAATTATTTTTTTTTAAATACCAGAAAAAAATTATCTTATCTTGTGAAAACGACTTATTATCTTGTGAAAACGAGATATTATCTTGTGAAAATGACATAATATCTTGTCAAAACGACTTATTATCTTGAGTAAACAAGATATTATCTTGTGAAAACGAGATATATTATCTTGTGAAAACAAGATATGATCTTGTGAAAACGACATAATATATTGTGAAAACGAGATATTATCTTGTGAAAACGAGATATTATCTTGTGAAAACGAGCTTGTGAAAAAATATTATCTTGTGAAAACCCGTGAAAACGAGATATTATTTGTGAATCGCTTTATTTCGTCGTTTTCACAAGATAATATCTCGTATTCACAAGATAATAAGTCGTTTTCACAAGATATTATGTCGTTTTCACAAGATAATAAGTCGTTGTTTTCACAAGATAATATCTCGTTTTCGCAAGATAATACGTCGTTTTCACAAGAAAATATCCCATTTTCACAAGATAATATCTCGTTTACACAAGATAAGTCGTTTTCACAAGATATTATTTCGTTTTCACAAGGTTATATCTCGTTTTCACAAGATAATATCTCGTTTTCACAAGATAATATGTCGTTTTCACAAGATAATATCTCGTTTTCACAAGATAATATCTCGTTTTCACAAGATAATTTTTTTTTTCTGGTATTAAAAAAAATTGCGTGTCCTAAATATACCACCGTAAGAGCGAACCTAACACGGGACAAAAATAACCCTGTATACAGTATACAGTTGTTCATACGTATATATGACCATTTTTTTTTCAAACATATAAAATTTTCACCGTACACTGATTGCCTATAACGACAATACATCAATCATGTTAATATGTAGATCATGATAATGGAAAATATATATTTTGTACTGAGAAACTGTATAGATAGGCTCGTGATATTTCGTCAGTCAGATTTAGAGGGGGTTTCACCATTACAGATACCTCTGGGAAGTGTATGTAGTAGTACTTATACATTCAAATAAATAAACTAAAAACCCTGTATGGCAGCTTGTTGCGAGGGTTGAATTTTTTTAAACTCCAAAGTCAAGGTCAAAATAATTGTTACGGCTCAAAGGAAGGTCTTCTATCTGTGAAATATGAAAGCCCTATAGTTCTAACTTTTCAAAAGTATGACGAAGGTTTTTTTTTTTAAAGTGAGTCAAACTCTAAGGTCAAGGTCAAAAGGTCAAAAATATTCATACCAATTCAAAGGTCTTGTTACAATGAATACACATATGAAGTATGAAAGCCCTAGCACAAATTGTGCAGAAGTTATGACGAAGATTAAAGTGTGATATATTTTTGCAAAAGGGCGTCAAACGCCGAAGTCAAGAGGTTAAATTTGGAGGTACCCAATGAAAGGTCTTGTCACAAGAAATACACCTGTGAAATACCGGTATAAAAAACATGGCCCATCTACTCAAAAGTTATGATCAAGGTTTAAGTTTTTTGTGGACAGACAGAGGGATGGACAGGGCAAAAACTATGTACCCCCAATCTTGAAACATACTACAAATAAAGCCACTTATAATGTCTGATGCCGGTCAAAACCCCTGAAGTAACAACTTAATGTATAAAATGAAACTTAACCGACGTTTATTTAATATTAGAACTACTCGTAATTTGAAATAATTTCATATTTTTTATAAATCACAGACCCGCGCACAGCAGATTGGTTCATGGTTCGATCCCCAGTTCCTGTCTTACTGAGTATTGGTGTATATCTGTATTTGGTGAAGATGGGGCCCGTCTGGATGCAGTCAAGGAAAGCATACAATCTTAAGAATATAATGATCTTCTACAACTTCTGTATGGTGGCACTTAGTGCTTACATGTTTTACGAGGTACACAAACATGTATACATTATATTCTGGTAAACAAATTTGCTCACTTCAACAAACTGTTGCAAAATTACTAAGAAAAATTATGTAGATGTACAAGTAAAGCTGTAGCTAAATGATATGAGAAAATGGTTGTTTGACCATCGGTAACTGTTTTTACGATCAGTGAATGTCAGATTTACAGCTGGTACATCCGCTTTCCGTTTAGTACTTAAATCTTACAGTGCCTTAACTCTGAATTCAATATTATTTAAGGAATGCTCTCATGTATGAATTTCAAACTGAATTTAATACGGTGAAATACGGAGCTAACAGCAAACAAGCTATAAAGGTTATTGAAACAATACAGATTTGGAGCAGAGCAAACATGGACCTCTACAAACATCAGAGTTGAATCAGGTGCATGTAAAATTAAAAGCGACTCACTGGTCTGAAAAAAATAGGGTGACCTAGCTTCTATTTTTGATGACCTATAGTTCTACAGAGAGTCTACTGTTGCCTTTTTAGTAAAAAATCACATGGAAACATTTAACAACGACATAAGTTCAAATGTTGATTTCTTTTCGCAGACATTGGTGACTACTTGGTTTAATCCAAATTTTAGCAAAGTGTGTCAACCAGTTGACTATTCCAACAATCCGCAAGCTTTAAGAGTAAGTGGTTTAAATACCTAATTATAAACTAAATAAAATTTGTTATTCATGAATTACTAAGTATTGTCTCTAAAGCATGTACATTATCCATATTTCTCTATTATATTACAGCTGGCAAATGTGATTTGGTTTTACTACATGGCAAAACTAATAGAATTCCTTGACACGGTATGTACATTTACATAAAAGAACATTTCATCAACTAAAATCATATTAAATCAATCAACTTGTGAAAAAAACTTCTAAATTGATTTTTTAAAACCCAATACAGATTTTCTTCATACTGAGAAAGAAAAATAATCAAATTACCTTTCTTCATGTGTATCATCATGCCAATATGGCGTTCTGGGCTTGGCAGGGGACAAAGTTCGTTTCCGGTGGCGAGGGTAAGATATGATCCTTCTATTTTCTTTAAATTTCTCCTTGAAATTAATGCATACTTCTTATTGTACATATATGTATAAGTACTCCGAAGATTGAATGATTGTAAATTGTTTAACATTCCTCTCGAGAATTTTTTACTCATATGGAGACGTCACCACTTGCCGGTGGAGACGCAACGCTCTATTCAAATAATCTGATTTTAATGTTTTAAAATGGGAAAACTAGGATCGTACCAGCACCTTTAAAAATTGATCATCAGTTACATATGAATATCCTTTTTTAAATGATAAGAACAGCTTTAAACATACAGAGTGTAAATTTAAAGGTTCTATATGGTATAAAAACCATGGCAACAATTGTCAACTAAAACGAAATACATCATAATTTGTTTTTAGTATATGTGTCAAGGCTCTTCTCTCAGTTATTTGATCACATTTTATCCTATAATTGATTTTTATATTTACGTGCATGACTATGAAATTCAATGAAAGGATTTTTTAAAAACTTTTGAATAATTTGTTACCATAGTAACGTATGTAACAGAGAAAGGCTTTTAAAATGATCTTGAAGTTTCCCTTTGACGACATTTATGTTGTCTTTGGAAAACAAACTATTGGAATTCCGATGGGCACCAATTTTGATCCTATCAGGGAGTGTTTATTATATAAACTTCTTTATATATAAACTTCTTTATGAGAAGAAGAACACTTGTTGTGCAGGCTTTCAACTCAACATTCATATATACCGACGGTGTCAATTACCTATAGTATTTTTCTATAATTCTCATTGAACTTGAAATAAAAGACTGCACAGAATTTAAAACATGTGTTTTATATTTAAATGTTTTACCATCCCTTAACAACAAAGGCAAACTAAGTAATAAATACATGTTGTAAGGCAAACAAAATGACATCATCCTTTCCATAGTAAACTCTTCTTCTTTATATTGTGATATTGTAATTTTTTTTCCACTATCACCTGTGATGGTCTCCTAACTTATTTGCTACTCAAGAGTTACATGCTCTGAATATGATCAATTTCTAAACAAAAGTAGCTACTCGCGCATAAGTTGTTGCTACAAATATTTCAACAATCTCGCTTGAAGTCGACATTTTTGTAAATTCTCTGGTCGTTATAATAATGACTCGTTATTAGCAATATCACGGGTCTCACGTTGGGTGTGACCGGTCAATATAGGATTTTTACTCCCCTCGGCACCTGCTCCCACCTCTGGAATTTTCAGTGTTTATGTCCTGTTCTAAAAATTGTACTGTTTGTGATTTTTATGAGATCAATTGCATTAAAATCTTCACCTTTTTAAATAAAGGACATGTTCTTACTTCACATGCATGTTTGTCATTTCAGCGTATCTTATCGTCAGTTTGAACAGTTTTATCCACGTTTTGATGTACACGTATTACCTTCTGGCAGCATTCGGGCCGTCCATGCAAAAATATCTCTGGTGGAAAAAGCACATGACAAAACTTCAGTTGGTAGGTCTCTTCTGCAAGTAATATCCAAGATAATAGTCAAAGATCAGTAGCTTAATTTTCGATTTGAAATGAGATGGTCATAATTCCAATTCTTTTGGACCAGTATGATACATGTTGATGTACAGTCTTCATAAAGCAAAAAATACCACTATCAATTGCAAAATCAAAGGCCAAGGAATATTATATTGTACCTTAACATTGCATTTTTTGCGTGTTTGGCATTAATCGAACTTGACGCTAATATATTTATCCCGATTCGACGAGTTAGCCAGCTTAAAATCCAATTTTCTTCTTCTTCCATACGAGTTTACTCTAACTAGAGCGTTGAACTCGGGAATACATTAATAATAACTTTTAATACAGTAAGATCTTTTTCTTTCCAGATACAGTTTCTATGGTATGTTTCACATGCTTTACGAGCTCTTTACATCGGGTGTGAGTTTCCTTGGGCATACATGATGTTACAGGTATTGATAGCCTTCTCCCAGCTTGTACTTTTTGTTAACTTCTACACAAAGACCTACACCAACAAATCAAATAACATGGAAAACCAAGCCAGTTCTAATAAGATTTCCACGGAAAAGAAACTTGATTGATAGTGTGCGTAGCTAGACGTATACCTATGTGTTTTTCTGAACGTTAGCAGCAACGTTTGTGCTCAAACACAGATATCCGTGACTAGATGGACACAGAAAAGAATGATCTCCATTAAAAGAGTTGAGATAAATTGAGGAATGTATTCCATATTTATTTTGTATATTTATTTATTTATTTATTTATTCTTACATATATACGTACATACATGTATAACATTTGTGTTTTTTACCAAGATTTTTTTTTTCAAACACGCTTAGAAAATACGCATGAGAGAAACTTAAGTATCTGGTAACATTTTGATTGGTTTACATTGCCCAATCTGATAAAAGTCGGATGCTTTGATCCGCTCACATAACATGTATAGATCGCTATGTGATCTCGTGTGAGCTAATCAAAGGATATAATTTAAGTCAGTTTGTACATTTCTCACTTTTATATTTTACTCTTCATACATGTATAAATTTACAGTTGTAATTCAATAAAACATGCAGTTGTTGACATGTATCTATGTACACTTGTAAAAAATCATATGTAAATGCTTTTTACGGTATTACTGTACAACCCAATGAATACATTAATGTAACAACAAGCCGTTTAATCAAATGAATCACTTTCAGCTTTGAAAAGATGTTCAAGACGAATGCCCCTTTAAAAGACTAAGTGCATATTTCTCCCAGTACTAGGTGTGTTTATTATCATTTGTATTTTATTATAATGTTGACATAGCGTTGTTTCACGAGAATCGAAGAGAGATTAATAAAAAGCTATGTTCACTTTTTTAACAGTTAAATGACCATGACTATATATTTTTACCAGTTATAACTACTTGTAACCTAGCTGCAGAACCGTAGCTTTCCGAGAAAAAAACCATTAACAGACCGGAGAGCTATAGTGCCACCCATTAAAAAAGTGTACATCTATTGCCACAAAAAGTGCGCAGTTTGTCGATTTATTTCTCTATGTTTTTTTTTCTTTTTTTTTTTTTTTAATTTACAGTTTAAAATGTTACTAACAGTGTGTTTCTAACATATTGTCCAATTGTTTCCACAAAACTTTTCTTATAACCATTGTTAATAGCCATTCTGGCCCTGAAAGTGAAGCCATAGAACATTTCGCCAAATTATACTGCTATTTTAGTTTGCAAGATAATTCTGTCCAACGCGCTTCGTACAGATGTCAATTGAGGTAAGAATTTTGAGACATTTTAGACTTATCACAACTTTTTGTGCGCAATAAATATACAGTTTTTGCTATGGGTGGCACTGTAGCTCTTTGGTCGTCCATCCCAATTTTTCAGACCATCGAGCTACAAGTCTGCAGCTATATTAAGTCTTGTACATGTAACCAAGTCCCTGTGTTCATCTCCTAATGTTAATAAACGGTAAAACCTTAGTGTTTTCTTTTGAAATGAGTTTTAAATTAAAGTTTTCTCTGAGAATTCAGTTATTGAAAAACAGGCTTTGTGAAATTACAGAATTTTGAAGAAAATGAGTGTTGGTACCAAAAAAAAAATGAGTACCTTCAGCAAAAAAAAATAAAACATGAGCCTATTACTGAAAAATTATGCAATTTAAAAGATCTTGTTACATAGACTAGCAAGAAAAGCATACCACTTTTAAATTAGTATATTTGCAGTCACCCAGAGGCAGAATGATATTAAGTATTTTCAACTATATAAGACTGAGTAATTTCGATTTTTCAGAAATTCACAGGACCAAAAGGCCTGAAATGAACCTTGTTCTTTAATGTGTGTGACAATTCACTATATGTTTTCTTGTCCATTTTCAACTACAACTGTTTAAGGTCTAAGCACGTGCTTCTCAGAGTACTTCTCTATATGAGTGGATCAGCAGTGTGTTTGAAGTTAGCAGTATTTGCATGCATATGTACGAAAGTGTTTAAATGATGAATAACCACATAAGTTATAATAATTAATATATAAATGATGCAAAAATCAATAAAAATGCAGAAAAGAAAGTTTTGTGTTTTCTTGTAAAATTCTAGTTGAAAATATTGTAGGCTTTTTATTTATGCCATAATCGGACTTTTGTTCATTTTATAGATAAATAAGAAGATATAATAGATATATATTTCTCCACGCCTTAAGATAATTATTAAAGACTTCGAAAGCAAAATTAAAGGGAGGGTATATTTGAATGGGCGGGGGAGGGTGCAACAAAAAGATTGTGATTTTGAAAAATTGCTATACCAGTTTCGTGGAAGGAGTTAAGAATCGCAAAAAATTCCTTGAAACATAATGACAACACTGTTCAATTTAAAGTTTATGAATTTTGGAAGTGAAGACGTAACAAACACTCCTTTTATCCCAATTAAAAATATCGATTTTACAGAAATCAGGAGAAGATCAAAATATTAAATGAGTATAAAATATAATTCTAAATAACGATTAGTTTATCATTAAAGCATGCTATAGTTATAAAGCCTGATATTGGAAAGGATGGGTAGGAGATAAAATAACAGGCATTAAAGCCAATTCTTGGTTGCCTTCTATTTTTATTAAACATAAAGAAATGTGTATCTTGTTCTAGCAGTATGTGAAGTCTGTAAATCTGATCATTGTTTGGAATTCTCATAGCATATTTTAAATTTACAACTCTCTAATGCATGTAGCCTAGTATATATCTTAACGTTACATTTTCATTATGTTCTTGATTTTTAAAAAAAACTTTTGAGTGGGTGGGGCTATGGCTTTTGTTTTCCGCAGGTGTATTCCCTGTGACAAGACCTTTCATCGGATACCACCAATTTTGACCTCTTGACCTTGGAGTTTGACCAACTTTTACAAAAATTATATTAACCTTGGTCATCACTTTTGAACAGTTGGTGCTAGGGCTTTCATTTCATATTTCAAATGTATATTTCTTGTGACAAGACCTTCCTTTAGATACCAATAATTTTGACCTTTTGACCTTGGTATTTGACATGCATTTGAGAAACTTCAACCTTTGACATAAGCTGCTAACAGTGGCATCAGTGTTTCACAAACACGTCTTGTCAAATGTATTATTGATATTACTAGTATTTACCGCTATGGACGGGAATTTTTATGAAAATCAATGTTCACTTTTGATTATAAAGATGATATTTAAACAATAGCAATTGTCACATTTTTAATAATCTAGTTTAATCTCTATAAAATTTGGTCCAGATTTGTGGATGTGATCAATTAGCCGTATAATGTTTCCAATTCGTCTACATCCAAGGAGAAATATACGAGGTGCTTTTCACAGGCACATGACGTTGATTATTTTCTTTTGATAAAAAAGATATACCACCTACCTAATAATAGTTTATTATTAGACAGTTGGTATATTTTTCTAATTAAAAGAAATATTAGTAAATCAGGGGTCTTTGGTGCTTTTGTATAAAAACTGAACCAAGTGAAATTGTAGCTATTTAATGACGTAATATGCGCCATCCCTGTAGCATGGTAGAAGTTCAATGATGCGTAAAATTAAACGTACTTCTAAACTTTTACAATATAATGAATGCTCGTATGTTTGCCTCCGTCGACGAATATTTCATACAACATATAACATATTTTTAAAGATTTGTTTTGAAAGTTGATCGAGAGAAGTATAAAATAACATTGCAATAGTTCAAAATATTATATTTTTATATGTATATTTCTGTTAATAAATGAAGATCGATAATTGTGTATTTGCAAATCAAGTGTTGCTATAAATAATAAAACCGATTCTAGCATTCGCATTCAGTAGTTTAGCTCTGTGAGCAATATTAATCGCTTGATACAAAGCGAGACCACCATGAAATAATGAGAAAAAATACGAGAATGTTTAATTTTATCGAAATATTAGCAATGCACGCTTATCAGTACTGTTAATTTCATGTCGTTCATCAGCATTCAGTTCAGCTTGATGTCAAAATAGATTTTTTTCTAAAAGTGCAGAGTTCCCTTAAAACCTTACTAACGATATTTTACATAAAGGGTATTTCTGAGTATTATATTACACTAAAATTGCGATAATAAAAAAATCGATGAAAATGGAAAGAACCCTGATTTTCTAAAATTAAAAGAGACTTTTGCAAACAGAAAATATACTCATGTATAGTAGTTCGAGGATTAAAATTTAAAAAAAAATGTTTACATTAACAGCAAAAGATGAACAATTTCATTTTCTGGTATTCATTGTAAAAAGCGGTAAATAAGGACATCGGATATTCTCTTTTATTGTGCATTTTTTGTGATAACAATTGAAGCTAATGTTCCACCCGATCCCGTGTTCCAATTTTGTATTTAAATAAATTTGAAATTACATAACATGATGACAATAGTTTTTGTAAACAAAAATAAAAAGTTTAATAATCCTCGCTTAGTCTGTAGCACAGACGTTTTGTACAGAGTATAGTGATAAGCAGACCAAATTATGGTATTATCGATATCAAGAGTAGGCCCAAAGCAATTTTTTAGAATTAGAAATTATCCTCTTATGAATGGTTTGGTTAGCATTTGCTAAAACGCGTGTGAAAATTATACCTGGAAGGTATAGAAACGAGAAAGGGTTGTAGAATGAACATTATTAAGCTCCATGAGTAGATGTACTTGAATTCTTAGCATTTTCATTAGATATAGTTTGATATTTTTAGAGGTGTTAACTCTGATCCCGATTTGTTTAGTTTTATTGAACTCTTGAGCTTGATTACCATTTCTTATCGATATATTTCATGTGATTAATTAAGTCGTATAAGTCCTAAACTTTTTAAGGTCAGACGAGACATTCCCCAAAAATCTGTTTTGTATATCTCCATAATGTGTGAAAAAAATACAATACTTTAATCACTTTCTGATTTCTAAACCGGTTTCTAACTGTTTTTTGAAAATTTGAAACAATAAAAATGTGACTTTGGCAAATTAATTTTTTTTCTAAAGGATTATGTAAGAAATGCCATCCTCTGGTATCTCGCACATATGACCGGTAAGGTACCTCAATTTTTTGTCAGTAAACATGTTAAAGTAGAAATTCTTCAATGATAAAATCTTGGTAAAAATTATCCATTATTGAGGAACGTCTCGTCTGTCTAAGAAGTCTTCTTCTTTTCCAAATGCAAATGGTTTAAAATACATCTTGAATTATATTAATTACTTAATTTTTATTATAAAATTACCATATATGCACTTGCGGTGAAAAGATTTTGCTTAAATGTATTATTGTTATTTCATTGGCGCTTACAAATTGCAATTTTTTTTAAATAAAAAATGATGTTTTCCCTTTATTCAAACCATAATATCTTTAAACAGTGACTATCAGTTATAGCAATGGGTAGGTCTACTTTAATTATTTTTAAAACCAGACCTAGGTTTGTTGTTATTCATATCCCATAATTCTTTTCATGGCGGAAACTCCCAATCGTCTGCTCTCCCTGAGGAGAAACTGAGAGCACGACTATGACGTTATACAATTCTGCCCATGTTCAGAAAAGTTAAATGGACCTTGAAATATCAGTTCTCCATCAGTTATTGATGTAAGGTTTGAATTACAGATTGAACTAAGGAGAGTTTCAAATTAACAAGCTTCATGTAAAATTTAGAGAGCTGTTGTAGATCATTGTACTATAACCATTTCATCTTGGGCCCCAAAGGTACCGTTAACTTTATATAATGAAACTATTGACTTCTTCTCATTTCTAATATTACATAACAAAGTAAACTTGTTTATTCATATTTATACTTTTTGCCTTTTTGAGATAACACAATGCTAAAACGTCAAAATAATTAAAAATTCTCAAAAAAAGAGTCTGAAAGTATTAATCTTTAAACAGATATAATTAAGCATACAATAACATTATATTCTACTTTAATTTTCTTTTGTTTTGCTTCTCATGCAGATAATAATCTCTATCTATATATCCCAAGCATATTACCATTGAGCACCCAGCACCGAGCTCATGCATGCCCTAATATCAGGTATTTCTATGAAAATGAAAAATTTTTGAAGGAAGCTTTCACATATTGCATTGCATGACATAACTTGAGTTTAGATTCTGCAATGTCACTTGATAATGTTATAAAATTAAGACCTCTTCGTTAATAGCGTTCAGTTTTTTACAAATAAATTTGTGATGCTTTGCAACATCAAAGTTTGCTCTATTTATCACAAATATTACAATTATAACTTGTAGAGATTACTCAATTTTGCCCCAAAAAGAAAAAAATGTTGATTTTATTTTGTTCTCGTCACGTAATGAGCACATTAGTCTAAATATATATAATTGATACAGACACTTAACAAGAAGAAAAATATTTTATTTACAAATGGTATTCAGTGATATTTTTAATCATTCTTGAAGATCAAACAAACTTTTGATCGCCAGAAGTTGGTTGTCAAAACAAATGATGCGTTGATTAAGGGAAAACATTTCTTTGATTTTTATAAACTATATTTGTCAGATACAATAATATCTAAAAGGATCATTATACATGCATGAAATGATTTTGCTTGATATTTTAAATGTATTTTTTTTTTATTATAGTGGTTTCAAAATACATATTTTTTCCAGAGTAAAATTTATCTTAAAAAGCAAAAAAAATAATAAATGTTAAGAATTTTAAATTCGGCAGTTCTTGTTTTTGTTCTATAGAAAGATCAACATGAAAACGGAGAAAATGAATGCAAGAATAAACTTCATCTACTAGCAACGTGTGCTTTTTCATGTCTTCATTTCATGTATGGCACGTATTTCAGCTCTCAAACTTCCATTGAGCGCATTCTCCTCACGTAGTTGTTTTTACATCATCCTGCTATATGCGTAATTTATCCTTATCTTTATATCTTTGTGTTCAATGAAGTCAATAACATGCTATTCTCATTCTAAATCATATACCATGTAGATTCTCTTTCGCCCCCTGTTTCAAATACGAGAGGTTAATGTGGTTGTGTGAATGCACTGAAATCTATTAATGAATGTTTATATTAACTCAAATTTGTAGATGCATAGCAAACAAAATTATATGAATTTCGCTTTTGTTTGTATTTTGAATTCACTGCGTTATTTAATTATTGGATTGCATTTGTCTAGTATTTGATTTTAAAAAAGTAAATGATTGTTTGCTTTATAATGGATTAGCCAGAGATGTCATAGAAATTAAAGAATATTTGCGCTGTCGATTTCGATTTAGAGGGAATAGTTTGCCAATCATCTTGAACTAAGTAACGATGTTATTCTACGAATAGCAAATGAAGCAATTTAAACAGTGCCGCCCATTGGCTTATCTGATAATCTCCAAGGATAAAGAAAAATACACAGCTGAATATTGGAAGCATTCAATATTACATGGAAAATAAATATAATTATGTTTCTCGCAGAAATTTAAATTGTCCTTTTCTGAAAGGTATCGAATTAAGCTTATGCCAATTTCACGTTTGATTTCATTACCATGTCAAGAAACCAGAATATTAGTCACTATTTTGTAATCATAATATAAGTATTCAGACATATTCAATCATGGAAATTATTTCATATTGTTATATAACAAAGGTAGAAATTGATTTCTTTATAACAATTTTGGGTTATTTTAAGATAGCAATCAAACTATTTAATCTGATGATCAATGTATTCCCTTTATTTTAACCTTGGTGAACCGTATAAATGGAGAAGACTATGCAACTTCAATGAATGTTTTCTCACTTTCGTTGATCAGATTCATTAAGTGAAGCTATCGACTCTTTGGTATTATGAAAGCAACGAGTCTAGAAACCAACACCTTCCCTGTCCTATCGGAAAACAAACCGAGTCTGCAGCCCACAACTTCATTTTCAATATGTACGCGGGTAACTAAGGATGAGATTATATAAATAACAGTTTTGAGAATGTGAATTCAATTTTTAATTAAGTACTTCTCAGTGAACACGGGTTTGTGGTTTTTAAATTTCACTTTTAATGGAAAATTCGCCAAACATTAATGAGGAAAGTGATCAACTAGTAAGAAATAATGTTACTGGTTGTAAAGAAATGAAAAATAATTCTGGGTGTAACAAAGAGGAAAGTGGGGAAAAAGAGTTAATCGTCGTTAATGATGGTAAAGAGAATGAAACATCGAAGGAAGAAAATTGTGATAATGACAAAAGCAAAGAAAACAAGGATACAGAAAAGAACATCGTAGCCAGACGAAGACCTTTGTCAACAAAAAGTACACGCAGCAGTGAATTAAAAGAAAATGAGAAGAAAAAACGTCTTATTGGGTCTGCTAAAGGAAAACAAATTGTAAAGAGACGAAGTAGTTCATCTGATATAATAAAGAAAAAACCACATATTTTACATAAAAAAGTCACACGAAAACTAAACAGGTCCAAGCAAAATGGAAATGTTTCTTCGTTGGAGAGCAGTTCTCAACAATGCAACTCAGATACGGATTCAAAACGAAGTATCGAGGAAGACTCTCAGAAATTAATAGAAGATGAGAACAGACCACAGGGTACATCGGGTAAAAATTCAGAGAAAAACACAGAAAATGGATGTACGTCTATGGAAAGATATGACAAAGAGACAAAATTTGATTCATCGGTGCATGGGAATAGTTCTAGACGGTTTGGTTTCAAAAAGACATGGCAAAGGATAAAATCAGTGAAAGAGAAGGCTTTAATTTCTTCGCAGGGAAACGGTACTATACCATCTGGAAACAGTTCTACACCAGTTCTAGTTGACAAAGAAAAACACGAAACTATAGGAAAGAAAGACGATCAAGGAAAAGAACATTCGAGAGAGAAACAGATGAGTTCTACTCAAACCAAAGAAACTAGCACGCCAGAAGTGAATCAGATTTCAACAGACTGTCCTGTCAATGATACCAATTCACAACAGGCCGTCGAACAAACAGTTCAGTTTGAAAATGGCAATAAATATACTGAAGATGAAAAGACAAAGACTTTAGTAGTTAATTCGGACCCTTACATTCATTCCGCTATCCCATATCTTCCACTGCAATTATCTGTGATCTGTTTAGTAATGAACATATTTTTACCCGGATCAGGTAATTTGATTCTAATCATACTTTTACTAACAAATATAAATAACTTTTTTTTTTATTTGTATGAGTAAGAATGATAAAAAGATAGTTCATTCACATTTTTTAAAAAGACTTTTACTACGGTATATCTTCACATCAAATGCAATAAGAGTGAAATTAAAAAAAACTAATGATGTGAAAATTAAAGTTTCATATAAAAAATGAAGTCAGCTCTGTCGCTGGAAAAATGGCAACATTTTATTAAATTCCTTCTTCCAATCACCTACCTTATAAAGTCTTTTTAGAAAACCAATTTCTGCTTATGATTATTTACTATATAAACACATTATCCGATAATTACGGTTCTATGTTGATACAAAACTGCGCTACCACTTTAGAATTAACACGATTTTCGTTCCAACTTTATTACAGGAATTTCTCCTTTATGGATGAACATTAATAAACGTAGGTCGTCAAATCATAGAGATTTCCTTTGAACTTAATGGGAAATTATAGTTTTATCTCTATTTGCCGGTTAACATTTCACACATACAATAAAATGATCAGTTCACTGCCTATTAGGTAGCAATTCATTGTTCTGTCACAACACTTTACACGGGATTTTCTGAGAAAACGGATTTGCCGAACCGGATGTGTTGTGTGTATTCTTCTGCACCGATGAATAATTTTTCCTGTAAATCACTTGACTACTGCGTTATTGGGTACATGTAGCTTTTTAAGTTGTTTTCCTTTAATTGTAATTTGAGATAAATATCATGATTAAAAGAATTGTAATTTTAAGACATAAGGACGCAGAACGCAAACGATGAATTGCTACATTGGTTCTGGAAATATAAATTCCCTTTTATTGATCATTTTAGCAACTGCTCTTTGAATAATGTTTTAATTGAGAAATTTTATAAACTTCAAGTTGCACATATTTTCCCGAAAGGAAACATTTGATTAATATATACTTTAAATTTTTTTAGTCACCACAAGCTACAGACAGCTGGAAAGTCTATTTTCTAGACATTTTCGGACTTTTTGTAACTTTTGTCCTTTTAATGAGAAACATTTTGGGCAGACGATATCAGTTTTTTTAAACAGGCTAGAACTATCTGACATTTTATGTTTTGTTTAGAATTTTGTGGTTATGACGTTACTAACCCCTTATCTACAAAGTCCAGAGAAAATCCTATTGGAGTAGACTTGGAGTTGAATTCCAATTACCTGACTTGCTACTTTGCGATAGAGCAACATTCGTACAATCGCTCTTTAAAATTGCAAATCAATGTCCATTTCCACCCCGACTTGCTTATCGGCTTCTTTTACACGGCGATGATTGAATAAATTGATGGCTAATTGATTTAACTGGTACTCCACATTGACGTGCGATGGAATCTATTTGCTTCTTTACATTGATATTCTGGACCGCCTTGGTACTTTTTCCGGTATTACCGAATACTTGTGCTAATCTGTAGAGGTCTATAAAACTGTATATTAGATGCTCTATTGAGTGTATTAAAATTATCAAATTAAATCGAAGATAAATAATGCCATGCTTTAACAAATTCATCGATTTTATTTAATACAAAAGTTAATTTATTGACTGGAAAATTTTATTGCCATTTATAAGGATTTATTCAAGATTCGAGGATTAAATTCTTTTAGAGAGAATTCAAATCAAATGTGGAAAATTAATTTCAAAACTTTTGTTATTTAATTTTTCAAAGAATTAATTTAAGCTAAACTATACAAAAAGCAATACATTTTATTTAACAATGCATGTTTTTGTTTAAAAATTCTTTATTCATACTTTCTTATTAAAACACAAACACATAAATATATATAGGAATATTTTCCTTGATTTCAAATCTTTCTAGGAACTGTTTTGAGTGGGTTTGCCATTCTTTTCTGCGGGGAAACACGGATTCAGACGAAAGAAGACCAAAAGACGGTTACGCTGTGTGTTAATCTTTCGGTGGGCGTGTCCCAACTATTTACTGTCACATTCCTATTGGTCGGGTGGTTCTGGAGCCTCGCTTGGGGAATCAAACTGGTCACACTCTCTGGTTTGTATACTATTTTTGAAATCTTGTATATTATGTATGATCATCGATATCAACTTCTGAAGAATCAATAACTTTTGCAATATGCATGTACACAATGTTTCACCGGTCAACAGGGAAAGTTTACTCCACCCAGGCACCTGATCCTATAAGTGGAGTTTCCAGGGTCCATGTTAATGCCCTGATCTCAAATTGTATTGTGTGAAGATTTTACGGGATCACTGTCCGTTATATCTTCACCCTTTATCATTATAATAGATACCAATTTAACAAGTCAAGATGAGATGACCTAGTAGAGTTAATAATCACAAAATGGACCATTTGTCAATGGCCTCTCGGTTGACAGAGATAAACAATAGTGGTCTCCTCAATAAGTAGGTTAAATTTTTATAAACCTCTTCTACCTGTTTGCTTCTTTGTTTTGATGTCCCTCATTTTCAATTTTTCACTCTTATTGAGAGGCTACCGCTTCCCAGAAGAGGATTACAAAGTTAGACCTTTACTTAGCACTTACGAACTTTGAGCATCGAGGGAACTTTTCCTATGCACTATCTACGTTGAGAGGGACCTCAGTTTATACGGTCTCAACCGAAGGACCGGTCTCAAAGTTCCACATTTGATTTTGAACCAACGATGTACATGTATGTTATCGACTCCTTACTCCACGAGTTCAGAGCAAATACTCTAATCACCGCACTATTCAGGCCTTCTTAATTTGAGTACAAAATTTGAAGCTGAGTAAAAGTTGGAGAAATCCTTGAAATATTTAACAACGTATGAAGGAATCTTGGTTCTCCTTTAGACGCTTATAACACGCCCATGCTTTTTGAACATTTTTTTCTATTCCAACATACCCCCGCTTGAAAAGTGGGAGGGTATACATGTATATATAGTCATTGGGATATCCGACCGTCTGTCCGTTCGGCCGTTTGTGGGTACCCATCCCTTAATCGCAACTCCTCTTAAACCACAGAATGAAATTTAATGACACTTTCATAGATTCTTTGCTACAATAATGTCATGGTGGCCTCCTATTTTTGGAGTGGAAACATATTTCGTATTTCCCATAGCAAAATATTGACATTGCCTTTTTTCTATAATATTGAAGGGTACCCATCTCATTCAAAACTCCTCCTATACCACTCAATAAAATTTAATGACAATTTCACAGATTCTTTATTACATAATGCTATTGTGAACCTCCTTTACTTTATAATCTGACAAGTATTTCTGGTCTACCAGAGCAAAATATGGGCGTTGCCACTATAACCATATGGGAGGCGGGACGTATCATTTAAGTGTACTGAAGTGCTCACAGTACCCGTAGTTGCTATAATATTTTTTCTTTTCATTTTTTCTTATATCTATTGCTCAAATTTTGCCATGTAGGCTTGATTCAATTAAGATAAGCATCCTTAATTCTAGTTATGTCTGAATTTTGTGTAGGTGTTAGAATCTATATTTAAAACCAACAAAACACGCAATACAAAACTAATAAAATTTTATAATTGAATTGAATTAGGTGTTTTCGTACGTCAAATCAGCTAATGATAAACATACAGCCTGTGGATCAAGATTTACTCTAGATTTATCAAATTTTTTTTTTAACTTCGTAGGAGTTTGAATGTTACCGGACTTTTATCTTTTAAAGGGTCAATTAATTTCATTAGAGACTTATCCTTCGCTCTTATTGTAAATATATGTACAATCAAGAAATGCAGAATATTTATATTGAAAATCAAGCCCGTTTGAAGTAAATATGTGTTGGTTGTATTTTAAATATGATAAGGCTGGAAATAAAAAAATCTAACCACATCTTCATTTTATCTGTTAATCTATTAAAAGAGTTGTCTTTCCTTGTTTTATCCTTATTGTATGTCTATTGTGTTAATGTTTAATTTGTTCAGGGAAAACAATATTTATCACTTTATAAAGATTAATCTGTTCTTTTTTTCCAATCTTTTTATTATTTATGAAAAAATAATGATATATAATATATTTCATATAAAGAATTACAAAACAATACAAATATATATTTTTTATTAAACCTAGAATTGCAAACATGCAATTTTCTTGGATAATTTAATATTATATTTTTCTATCTTTTACAATTGGAATTTTTTTTCCCCTAGTTTTTTTATTAAGAGTACGTATGTTACACTCTGTTTAAAACATATCCGTCAAAGCCGTAGCTTTATGAAAAATTAATTGTAAATGAACATTTGTTAATTATTTCTGCATTCTAAGGTTACACAACTAAACTTATTTATGGTGCTCGCTATCAAAACCCACGCCTTAAGAGAGATAAATCATTCAGTGTTAACAAAACAAAGTTGAAATCGCTGATACGTTAGTTAGAAACTTCTTTTCAGTAAATAATAATGATTTTATTTTTAACTAGAAAACCAAACCAGAAACGAGAAAAATGAATATAAATTTACATTTAATTAACATCGGCTTCAATTTAATTTGAAATATGTATACTGATAAAAATTTTGTCACCGTCTGATTTAAATACAAAATCACAATATTTTCGTTTTCTTTATTATGTATATTGTCGTTTTAATTCTATCATTGCAAATATGTTTTTAGGCTGACATTATATCTTGTTAAGTTTTGGATTATAATACTGAAGTGTAATTCTGATATCCTTTCGAAATTTTGAAATACCATTATTAAAACTTGAGAATAATTAAAAGCTATAACAATCAACATGCTGCATGTATATATTTGACCATATATAATCCAATAAAAAGTCTCGGAGGTCTGAATTAAATACTTAAAGTAAAGAAGAAAAACACAAAAAACTTCAGTAAAGCTTTAGGCCTTTCATTCTATCTTCAGAAGGTTTACAAAATATTTTGTATTTGATTTTATAAAGCTTCTGAAGATAGAATGAAAGGCCCAAAGCTTTATTGAATTTTTTCGTGTTTTTCTTTTTCTTTACTTTAAGTATTTGACCATATATGCAGCAGTCGTCTATAAGTCACAGTGGTTAGAGCCTTTGTCCTAGAGTAGTTAACCCTTACGTTGCGGGTTCAAATTCAAAAATATATATTCTGGAGGTCAGTCTTTCGGAGAATATCTTATACACTGAGGTCCCGTGTCGCAGTACGTGATGGCAAGAAGACCCTAGGTACAGTGTAACGAGTACGGGTCTTATTTTGAAGCCTGCAAGGACAAGTAGGGTGTCTCGAAACGAGTGTAAAATTATTTTGTGGGAAGTTAAAGACACAAAACGAAAACTATCCAGTTTAGCTAGAAGTGAAACTGTAATTCGATTAGATGATAATATTGCATTAAAATCTACATGTACCGGCCAATTTATTTAGAAAATGTACTAACATGATATCTGAAGTCGGTACTTTTAATATTCTTCATTATCATTATTCTACACATTATAACGCAATTTTAGATTGTTTCTAAATATTCAAGTGAAAAACCATATTTCAATTTCCTTGTTCTTTTTTCTGTTAATTTTAAATTGTTTATACTTATTATTCATAGAAATTAACTTGATAACGATGTATCAATTGGTAATATTGCTCTCTGATAATATTTTTAACTAATTTTATTGATTTAAATACTTGTATATTATACAAATGAAAGGTTGATATTGTAGCTTGCCATTTTCGTGGTGAAATGATCAATCTTTAATTAATGGAAAATGTATCATTCAACCTAGAGCAAAACACTCTTCAGAGCAAAATATTTTTGGACATTCATACAATAGATGTAAAATATGCGTGAGGATATAAGCCGAAAATATGGTTGATTTATGTAAAGTTTGTCCTATTCAAGAAAAAGTAACACCTCAATTTAAACAAGTACATAAAGTTGACATGCAGTAAACGACGTGTAAGCTAGTCAGCAAAGTATTATTGAATTATATTTGTTTTAAAGAGCTACACCCGGAATATGAAAATTATTAAAGGTGCTCAAAAAGAAAACGGCAGTTCCTACCATACTGGGTTATGCTCGTGCTATATTTTTCAAATTTTATAAAAAAGAGTCTCAAGTTTAAATTGAAAAAATATGTCCAACGTCCGGTTTTTTTTAAATCTCAGAAAATGTGCAATTTCAGAATCGAAATAGTTCTATGCCGCAATAAATAAGACGTATCGAAAAAGAAAAAAAAAAGAAAATGAACAAAATAAAAACATTTACCCATGTTTATCGACGCGAATGTAAGGTCCATAAATAATATCACTCGATGATACACATAATAAATGATGAGTTTTTCTCTTAAAGTTTGCGTATCTTTCATAGCCAAATAGTTACAGAATACGTTCATTTTACGTCTTTTGTTCTTGTTGTGGTTGGGCTTTTTTCCCCACTAAATTCATATTAATTTATTTCTCTTGGCTCAGTACAGGCATCATATCATAATAGTTACGTAAATAATTTCTTATAGTATAATTATTATCTTTTACTTCTATATTGCCAATTACGCCTGTAGATTGAAGCAATATATGTGTATAATATGTATATTTGAAGATATTTCTATTTTTTGTCAATTTAAGATGAAATATAGACTTAATTTTGTTATGAAACAAAAATACTTTGCGCTAGGTAAAACGTGAGAATTTTGCCTGGCCTGAGTCCATATCAAATTTGAGCATTTTAACCCCAGTAAACTAAATCAAGATGACAGTTGTTGCACCGGGAAAACATTGTCTTGTATATCAATATGTTGATGTTATGGCGACTGAATCAGAATAACATAAAGATATACAGCATATATAAAAAGCTTTTACAGAAAATTGTAAACAATCAATGAGAAAATTGTCAAATATTGAGTTCTTATTTACATGCATGTACATATAAATGTCTCCACATAGAGTGTTTTTTATTTTAAAAAAAAAATAATATATCCACTTTCATATGCATATTCCTATTTTTGAATGTTCTAATTTTTTATATATTATTTTTAATGGCAAATGATAAAACAGTTTAAAAATATATCAGTTAGGAAATATGCAAAATTTCAGTTCACCTCGACCAGAACATGGGAAACTTGCGTAACTACTTTAAAAAACACAGTTAGCATTTACTTACATGTATATATTAAGTATTTTTTTTTTTGAATTCTAAAAGTACGTAAAATGTTTCAAAATCTCTGCGCAAGCTTGTTGTCTACATTTTTTAAAATTCAAACGATCGGGGTTTTTTTCTTTTAAAAAAATGAAAGTCAATGTATCTGACGAGGAAAACCCTATAGGTTTAAATCAGTCTGTACAATAATTGTATAAAAAGTCTGTACAATAGTTGTATAATTTGTTTTCTTTGAACGTCTCAGAGAAAAATGTAATTATTTTTAATAATTTTAAAAAAGTTTAGAAATATCTTCTAGAATTTAATGTAGCAAATGCCTTGTCGATATCATTTTGTCATTTTTAGGTGAAGAAATATATTTTTGAGTAAAACATTTAATTCGTGTAATATTTTTCCATCGCAAAATATGAATTTCAATAATACTTTTATGAGATTTTTTTTTCGTCCTTTGTTTCTCAATAACTGTTGCACAAGCTACTGATGTAATGGTTTATACAACTGATTAATTAACTCGCGTGAAAAGACGATTAAAATTTTACAAGTGCAAAGTTCAATTTGGTGTCATATTTAATTAAAAAAGAACCTTGGCCTACAAGTGGAAAAAGTCTTACAATTTTGTAATTATAAAGTGTAATTTATATCACACTAGTCGCAATGAACAATGCGGCAGTTATTATGCCGTCATTTCAAATAATTTACTATGAAGTAATGTCAAGGATTTAGAAACGTGTCTGCCTGTTTCTGCAATTTAAAGATACAAATATAGAATTCTAAGGATTTTATACAAATTAATTTTTCGAATTGTCAAGCTAATAGCTGATAATCTTTCTTTATGTAAATTATTTGAAATATATGGCAAGTATACGGTTCAAGAGTGCATTAAAAATATATTATTGTTACTAAAGAAATAAAGCATTTTTATCAAATTTTTATGGTCCTGAAATTTAACTTCTTACAAAAAATGAAAAAGAATTGTAACATTAAGAAAAAGAACAATGATTGAATACATGTCTTTACTGAATTTGATTAGGAAGCATGTTTTTGCAAATTAATGGTATTGCACATATCTAAAAAATATCCATTTTAGCTTAGAGTTAGATTTTTGCAACATTTCGAAAATTTAATATGCTACACTACGTGTAAAAATATTAACAATTTTTAACGATAGATATATATACTTAGTATCACTATAACCAATCTTGTCGAATAGGCTTTCTCATCAAAACTTAACACCCATAGACTTTTTTAATAGGACCATCTCTCTCTCTCTCGAGAAAAAAAATACTCAGGAATCAGGAATATATGTAGCCCCTAGGAAAATGACTCTAGAGTAGCATTTCCCTTATGTACTTATTTATCACACACCACACACAAGTTTTCGAGTGGGGAGGGGGTGTCTGTGTTTCCTCCAGAACCAATTTCGCCCGACGATTTCTTTTTTCAAAACTTTCAAATGATATCTAGTTAATGGATCAGGTAGGCGGAACTTTATGTAGTTAATCAGTATAAAAACAAAGGCCTTACACTTGGTATGAAACAGATCAAACAAAATACGACATTTGATTGGTTAAATTTGTTAATAAGGTCATGTAACCGGTAATAACGATCATAGAATTTACGAAATGCTGTATTTAAACAAGGTTGTTGAAATCCCTGCCATCTGTGGGTGGCTTTTTTCCCTCATTTCAAAAATTGATCGTACTCAGAGCTCGAAAATCTTTTCTTCTTCTAAATTAGAAGTTTTTAAATTAATTCTGTTTCATGGAAAATTCAAAAACAAGTCGGCTAATAAAGAAGCACGGTTAGTTCTCATCGGCATTCTAACCTTTTTTTTTAAATGGTCTCCGAAGACTGAAAATGCTGTCAATGAGAAACTGGAACATCATTTCAATCTGAACTTCAGAGAACATGTACTGATGATTCAAATCAAAATGTTTTATGGAAGTTATGACTAATCAGGAGATATGAAAATTGTGCGACTTTCATATTTATTGAAAAAGCAATTGTCTAAGATATAAAATAGCTTAGTTTTCGATTTATCATGACGAATTGTTGTATAAAATGTTGAAAAGTTTAACATTTTGATGTTAAATAATTTATTTTCTTAATGTTCTTATGAATTCTTGGGGATCCACATCTGATTTCTTCTCGAACATGTCTTTATATTAGGTATGATAGACTTCTTCAAAATTACTTCCCAATATGTATCAATTCGATGACTAAAATTTTTTTCAGAAGACTTATCTCAGTTTATTTGCTGGTTATGTTAAGAGGAGTGAGTGAGTTCTTCTTAATTTAAAATTGTATTAGAGGCAGAAGCTTCTGGCCACCACCGCTATATTTGTAACAAGATGTTAAGTTAGATCGGCATTTGTTAAGTTTTGTTTTCACCTTAGGTACTTGTATTTCTTTGCAAAGAGGAACAGCATCCTTTATTATATTGCAACATCAATCATAATTCCAGATATTGTACTCAATAGCTGGTAAATCTTGGTATTAAATAGATCCCTTTCAGTTAAATTTTGTTTTTTATGAGACATGCAATCGTTTACATGGAGTGGGCGATGTTTCATATCGTTATCAATATTTGAATGATCACAAATATTTGTAATTAGGTCACTTACTGCAACGATTGTTGCCTTTTGTTAAAAACCGTGACTAATACAAGATATTTTTATCATCTTTTTACAGTGGAATACAAAAGGCAATTAAAACAGAAAAGAGAGAGAGAATTACAAGTCATTGCTTTGAAAGCCTTTGGATCATCCATGCAAGTGCGCCCAATGTTTTCCGTGGTTACCGAGTAATGAGGAATGGTGACGAATGAACGCATACCTGTCAGTGCCATAAATCTTTCCTGACAATTGATGATCCCACATTCAAATAATACGTTACCATGTTCTGCATGGCAAAAATAAACAAAAAAAATTGCAGATTTGAATTTTCATGTATCTTGATTTTTATCGTTTTCTGTAGATGCAGAGCAAGTGGATTAAAGCATGGCTTATCAGATAATCATGAGTGTTGGTATATTGTAAGAGTAAGCAATGATTACAAATATTAATATAACTTGCTTAAATTAGCATTTAATTTTTCAACACTTTCTAATCTATCAATATTATGTAAGTTAGCTTCCTTTATATTCTGTCTAGATGTCTAGATGGTACGGAAGCCCATTTAGGACCTATCAAAAAATATTTTTGAATTCGTTATAACGATTTTTAGAATTCGTTAAAACAAATTCTTCAATTGGTTATAACGAATTCAACAAATCTTTAATAACAGATTTAATTTGTTATAACGAATTCAATATATCTGTAATAACAAATTAAATTCGTTATAACAAATTAGTGAATCTGTTATAACAAATTAAATTCGTTATAACAAATTTAATGAATCTGTTTTAACGAATTAAATTCGTTATAACGAATTCGATGAATCTGTTATAACATATTAAATTCGTTATAACGAATTCAACAAATCTTTATAATAAATTAAATTCGTTATAACGAATTCTAAAAATCGTTGTAACGAATTCAAAAATATTTTTTGATAGGTCCTAAATGGGCTTCCGTAAGATGTCTGATTGTTCTAATATAATTCATTGCAAATGTACATGTGAAAAACAACGAGAGTACAAGTTCCATTTAAACGACGTCACTTTTGCTTTAATGTGGTTTACGTTTACGGTTTAATTTATGTAATTGTTTGCCTATAAAACACGAAACCATGTAAAACAATGCTACGTGGATTTTAGTTTATTATGTCAAAAATTGTAATTTTTTCCCATGTTGAATTGTCTCAAGGTGTATCAAAAACGTTTTATGACAAGTTTGAAAATTATTAAGAATTATTAAATTATTTAGATACAAGCGATAAATTCAAGAATTACATGAAATCTCGTACTGTATTATTTGAAATATACTTCATACAAAAGTAATACAAACGCACAACGTGATACAAAAGAAGTAATGCATAAACAGAGAAATAGAAAAAAATTCTACGCATACAATATGAGTAATTATTTTTGTGATTTTCCCAAAAGAGGAGAAAACAAAAGTTGATGTTCAAAAATGATTATCAAGTAAAAATACTTTTTATCTTTCTTCCAATGTCTATTCTTTTCTTGGAAACACTTGTTCCTTCTTCAACATTCACAGTCCTTTTGTTAGACTCAGATTTTTTTCGGCCAGCATCCTCCGTAAACAGAGTATTATTTTCAGCCTGTTTCATTCCATCTATATCTACGGTTACACTAGAAACTGAATCAGACTCATTTGTTTGCATTGTAGTCTGGGTAATCCCCGTTAGGGTTCGAACATTGTCATCTGAGGTATTTATGAATTTAGCATCTGTCGTAAACATGGTTTTATTTTCAGCCTGTTTCATTCCATCGCTATCTATGGTTATACTAGAGACTGATTCAGATGCCTTTGTTTGCATTGTTGCCTCTGTAATGTTCCTTAGGGTTAAAACACTGTCTTCCGATGTATGCATGAATTGATTATCACCGTCTTCAGTTTTGTTAATAATATTTTGTACTTGTTTTATTGATGGACCTTTTTCTGAGCGTATATCAGCTGATATTTTCTCCGTTTCACTACCATTGACATCAGATATGGATTTCAATTCAGGGTCAGGTTTTCCAATAACTATCTCTATCTTTCTAACACCTCCTCCCTCTATGGTTGATTGTACTCTATTTGTCGATGCGTTTTTCGCTTCTGCTTTAACGAACTTGATTCCCAGATTTTGCATGAAATCCAGAACTTCTTTCCTTGTACGTTTTCCTGATTTTTTAACTATTTCTTCTAGCCAGGATGGAAATATAGGGTTTTTAGGTTCTATTTTTACTCGTGAGAGTCTAATCGTTGCCTATGAAAGAAAAATATATTGATAACGCTGCAAGTTCTAAAATAGATATTTTTAAGTTTACTTACCAAGTACAATACTGACTAACCTTAGTATCGTCAACAAAATTCTGAAGCATGCAAAGTAGCAGGCTTAGTGTGAAATATGACCTCATCCTTTCATTACATTGACCAACAGTAATTAAACTATTTATGCGATTTCCTTTATACTTTGTTTTTTTTGCACGAATCATTAAGCATGTGTGCTAGCGAAGGTGTGTTACTATTTTAAAAATAAATCAGGCAGTCAAAGCGGTAAACATAAGAAAATGCTAGATTATTTAACAATTTATACCACAAAGTGTATATGAGTATATATCGATTCGTTAAATCAGGCAGAATGGATTGTTCCTAAGATGACGATTTTGAAGAAACTGAATTTCTGGAGGACAGTATTATGTATTTTAAAATGCACATCTCCTTGATTATGATGGGGATCGTTTTCAATTAAAAAATTAATTAATTGCGCCATCAGTTTTATGAGGATCTCGTTTAACGTTTTACACTCAAGAAAATACTCTATCAAAATTATATAAATGTCATCTTTGGAGGAAAGGTGGTAAATCATACGTTAAAACATTTATATCTTAACTTTAAAAAATGTTTTCATAGATTAAATTTTATGGGATAAAACTATTGGTTTAATCTCATTTATTTAATCCGAAGAATCAATTCATTTTAACGCTTAGATTCATCTGAGTTTTTTAAAATCAATTTTCCATATTCCAAGTCTTTGAATTCAGTTATGTATTTGTTATAATGTACATATATATGTTAAAAAACAAACTACAAAATCATTCGGAAAATTGCTAAGCAAAGAATGTTTTACAGTTAGCATTTTAAACATATAAATTTTTTTGTATTTATCAATGATTCAGATTTTGGTATACTATAAGATGAAGTTATTTTGAGATTTCTTGAAATAGATAAGAACTTAAAATTTGAAGTTATATCCAATATGGAAAATCAGAAAGCACTGAATGACAAACGCTTAAAGAATTTCAAGAGTTTAATATGTATGAAAAACAATAAAGTATACAACCACAACGTTAAAGAAATAAATACTAGCGTATGTACAGAGAAGGAACAGTTCATATCTATATACAGTGTACAGCTGTATATAGATAATATATATACACAACACCGTTTTAATCTATTCTACTGTAATATATGGTTTATGAGTATATATTTAATTTCTTCTAAACCTTCTCACTCGGCGCAGGGCTCTTTTAGCTTTCCTAGCCTTTCGCTTTGCTCGTCTTTTGGCTTCTTTCTTTGCTTTTCTGGCTTCCCGTTTGGATTTTCGTTGTGCTAATTTCTTTGCTAGTTTTGCTTTTCTTTCCTTTCTTTTTTCCTCTCTTAATTTTTTTGCTGCTTGTCGAGCTGCTTTTCGTGCATCGGCCTTTGCCTTTCTATGGGCTTTCCGTAGCTTGCCTTCTGCGGTCTTAACCTTTTTAGCTGCATTGTTCCTTTCTTTCTTGGCTTTTTTGGCTGCCTTCTTTGCTTTTCTGATGGCGGCTCTCTGTTTCTTTGTCATTTTTCCAGATTTAAGTGCAGGGGGTTTTGCATCGACAGAGCCTGCCGAAACAGTCACTACAGCCTGAGTAACTTCAGCCAATGTTGTTTGATTATCTTTGCCTTCTGGAGAAGTAGTCAAGGGATCGCCAAGAGAATTAACAACTGAATTTGATGTAGTATTTAATGGAGCTTCTGTAGCAGTATTTGCCAGTTGCTCTACTACCTCTGTTGTTGGATTCACGGTCTCTGTCTTTAAAGTAGCTGTTGCATCGACCTGAACATTATCTGTTGGGTTGCCGGGTGCCACAGTAGTTTCAGAAACTTGGGCTTGTGTTGTTGTTTCAATGGGATTTGCTTCCGTTGCTTTTACTGTCGGTTCTGAAAGGGAAGTGGCAGTTATTTCAACTGGTGAGTCCACCACTGACTGAACATTGCTCACGTCCACCACTGATTGAACATTGCTCACATCCACCACTGACTGAACATTGCTCACTTCATTATTTGGAGCTTCCGTCGAAGGATCAGCAACTGGTGCTTCAGATGTCACATCGACTGGATTAACTTCCGGGGTTTGTGTTAGTTCAGATAAAGAGGTGGAAGGCACTTGAGACGGAGGATCCACAACTGACTGAGCATTGTCTTTCGGATCGACTGGAGTTTCGATGGTTAAATCAGTCACTGGAGCTTCAGTTGCGATTTCAGCAGGATTTACCCAAGAGACGTCTACTGTAGTTTCTGATAGAGATGTGGCAGCAACTTCCGGTGGAGGATTGACAACAGTTTCGCTGGGTGTTGGGTCAGAAATAATTTGTCCTGTTGTTGCTGTGGTAGCTGTTTCATACGTTGGATTTTCACCATTATTCTCTAGGCCTGCTACCTCTAAAGCTCGTTTTTCTGTTGTAAAAATGAACTTATTTTATTGATTTCATATCTTAATGAATACAATAACTGATATAGGCCAATGTTTGAATTAAAATAAAACGAATGAATTTGCGTCCTGATATATCTTACTTTTATTTTTATTTTATTGAAATGAAAGTGTACTATACCTCTTATCCTTCCATTAAATCTTTCCAGTGGAACCTATGAAAAGAAAGGACATTTCCTTAAGATTTTTTTTTTCATTTTTGCACCATATAACAACTTTTTAACATGAAGTAAAAAATTTAAAAAAAAATCTTTTGTTTAGAAAAAAAATAATTAAAATATTTTAATCTTAAGAAAAGTTTCGCAGATGATTATTATTATGTAAAGATTAAATTATTCAACTTGTAATTACATGAATTATAAGAGCACTATTTTTTTTCAAAGACTTTTCAGCAAATTACCTCTCTTGATTCCACTAGGAAACCAGCACAGACCAGGGTGAGTATTACTTCGGCAGAGACCTTCATTGTTGTTACTGCACTGTGGCCTCTGAAACTTTCCAATTTATACGAATCAACAATAAATTCATGTAAATTTATGATAAGTTTTGTTGGATAACATTTTGAAGAAACTCCTCTTTTTCTCGCCTGTCAAAATTGTAACGGATGGTTTAAGAGAAATATGCATCGTTCTCCTTTTTTGGAAATTTGCATGAAATTTACAACTAAGCCTAATTTGCATCTCTCGATAGTAACTGTTTGGTACAGAGCACATGAACCTTAGTATTATTAAAAGGGCCCTATTCAAAAGTACTTCTTCCTTAAATTCTTTTCAAATAAATCTTCCTTAAGATAAGAGATAATGCATTATAGAAATGTTATATTATAAAATGTGTTATGATTTGCCCCTCTAATTGATCATATAATTATAAGTAATAACAGTTATGCACTTTTTGTGCATGTGCATTAGATTTTGCATTTTTTGCACTGGATTAAGGAAATGTGAGATCTGGTATTGGCCAATTGCTCTGTTGTTCAAGTTTTGGATTTATGTTATTATGAGGTATAAGTGGCAAAACATCAAAGCAATAGAGACACCTTTGTTGAAAAGGCGTTCATATGAAAGATATTTTTCCCGTAATTAAAAACAAGTATAAGAAATTTTTTTGCAAAAAAGGACTATTTTTGCAAATTGGATTGCTCCGTCTTTTATTTGCAAATGGATTTATACTCACTGGAGAAGTAAAGTGTGTGTTTTTGTTAAGTTTATAAGTAGTAAATGGGTTCAATTTAAAACATTTTACGAGTTTGTTTTCGATATAGTTACATGTATTGGAAAATTTTTGGTGACAAAAAACATTTTGGTGAACTTTAAGGGTTTGGACAATTGTTATCACAATTAAAAGGATCAATCACCCAAATTCCTCCAAAAAGTATTTATTTAGTTGGAGGTTTATGAGTGAAAAAAAAACAAATTAAGTTTAGATTGGATTACTCATTTTTAAAAATTTATTAAGGCAATGTAAATTATCAAGCTAGCATTTAATGTTTTTTCGTTTGATTACTTTCCTTTTACAGCAGAAAGAATGCTTAGATAGCGCTGTTAAAAACTTCAGAATTTTAAATGTTTTATTGCATTTCACAGCAAAGGATAATTATTTTAAAACAATTAAGCTGTCTTCGAATGGTACTCTATAAAGCGAACTTAGTGAAGGTAATTAAAATAAACTAACTGCCGTATTGCGGGAATTATTTCCAATGACAGATTTCTAAATATACTGTAAAGGTATATTTAAAACTTTAATAGACGAATGCAGTGCCTTGGAAAATATAATTAAATTTTTATTGCATCGAAATAAAATATTTGACGTGTTGGCAAATATATGAGCTGATGATATCAGTCTTATATAAGCAAATACTAATTTTAATTTGTGGATAGTTTGAATTTTGCTTTGCTCGCACGGATAAAAGTTCTAGAGTCGCGATGTAAGGAGTTGATCCTTACGTCACTACGTCGCGGTTTCGAATCCCACCATGGAACGTGGAGACCGGTCCTTCGGATGAGACCGCATTAACAGAGGTTCCATGTCGCAGTAGGTGTTGGCATTAAAAAGATCCCTCCCTGCTCAATGGCCCCAAATGCTGTGTATAAGACAAAATTTGCAGCTCTCCACCGCAAGTCGTGGCGTCACCATATGAATGAAAAATTCTCGAGAGGGACGTTAAAAACATACAAACAAAGATGCAAACACAGATAAAAGGATGCATTTAATTGATTTATTTTTAACTGATGAATGACATTTTTTATTAATTCTCTCTTTAAATGTCAATTTGATTTATTGATTGATTGTGTATTGTTTAACGTCCCTCTCAAGAATTTCCCACTCATATGGAGACGCCACCACTTGCCGTTGGAGACCTGCAGATTTTGTCCTACTTTATTCTAGATGAAATGTTTTTTCCTGAATATGGTAACCATATCCTATATATCTATATTCTGATTTTAGTCTCCATATCTTCAGTGTATCTGTATCTTTTGTAATATTTGATGTATGTTGTGGTATGTGTTTCCGGGGAAGTTTAGAATTGATGTCTAAAAGCATTTAAATAATAATTTTCTCTAACAATAGAATTCAATAAGATTTTCGACATTAGATATAACTATAAGCACACCAACTGCGTTTTGTTGTTATTAATCTGTTATAATGTAAACTCTGATAAACATGCATATTTTGGAAATTGTTTTCTGTGTTGTTTTTTTCCTATGATTCCGAATTTTAAATTCTCTAAATCTCTCTAAATCTCTTCTCTGTTAAAATATTTAATAGAATGAATCCTGCTTTCAGATGTTTTAAGAACCTTTTGCTAAGTATCTTTTTTAATATAAGCACAGATAGTTCAGTAAAGACTGTGAAAGGTAAGGGACAATACGTTCCATTTGGTGCATTGTAATGCATCTTGTAAAAAAAAAAACAATTTTTTTTTAAAATATACTTTTTAAATACTTTTTTATACAATTAGATCATGGGCTCAATTACAGTCCTATTCTAACTTGGATAGATACATTTAAAAATTGCAACAAAGAGTTCCAAATTACTTCGTTCATGTATAATAAATTCTTTAAACTTTCCGCACTTATGAAACATATTTTATTTTAGAATTAATAAATTAACAAAGAAAGGAATGACTATTCAAGTCAAGTTTTAACTAAAATTAGGCAGAATGATCAATGTTATTTACGAGAGTTGTCCTAGAAAAACACGAACATTTTCAGTATCTTTTGTTTCCCTATGACTATAAAGTAAAAAAAAAATTCGCAAACATCAAGACCAACATTTTTTAAGTAATGCATAAAAAGTTCAATGAAATATCTCTATAAATAACAATACAATTTTCCTTTCAGGTAAATGAATCTAACAAATCACCTATCGGCGTAACATTGCCAACGTCAAAACGTAGCTCGTAGTGTTTGTGAATTTGTTCTGATTACTGTGCCTGTCATAAAATACATTTAAGCAGAAAGTCGGCACTTAATTTAGTTTTCTTTTAGCTACCTTCGCCCGCGTGGCGTTGGGTTTGAGTTACGCAAGTCAATCCTTATATCCCATTGTGGGGCTGAAATACGTATAAATAGGTCCCGTGTCCAGTAGGTGCTGGCCAAAAAAGACCCCTCCCTGCTCAATGGCCCTAAGTGCCGAGTATAAGACAAAATTCTCTCCACCGGTAAATAAGTGAAAAACAATAAACAATATACAATCAATCAAAATGTTTTTACATCTGAAATACTACTGTTGCCAAAAAATTTCGGAGTTAATTCTTTAAATAGACAATTTCAATCATAAATGTTTTTGATCGAAATTGTTTAACAGCGGTCTTCACGTAGGACTAAGACGTCCTGCTGCTGTCTTTTCAGCTGTCTTCATTTCAGAGGTCTATTCTCTTCATCTTGCTAACCAGTAAAGTCGACCCCAAACCCCTTGAATTAGAGATAATCCTGTTTCCAGTACTTATGTTTGTGTTTTTCATCGTTAAAATCTCTTTTCAAGAGTCAAATCCCTTTCAACATCGTGCTGTTTGATAATTTGGTGCTCCACATTTCCGCCCAACATTACAATTTTTGACAATGTCTAATTTATAGTGCTTTTGCACATATAATCATATATTTTTCATTAATTTTTTCAAACAAATGAAGTTTTAAATACGAGTACAACATATTATAGAGTACTTTATACAGGGTTATTTTCGTCCCGTTTTATTTTCGCCATTTCACACTTGGAAACAATTTTGCTTTGTTTTAAATTTGCCCAGTTACAGTTCTGTTTAAGAAATCATGCTGTGTATTGCTGTGTATTTCTAACTCGCCCCGTTTTAAATTCACCCACTTGTGGGTAGGACGAAAGCTAGGGAAGAAAATAAAACGAGGGCAAAAATTTCTCTGTATACAGTTTTGATATAATAGATAAATTTTGTGACATAATATTTCCGTATAGTCTGATTACAAAGAAAACTTCATTGACAATAACAATGCTTTTTGTAAAAGTCAAAAATCTGTCGTGCACTGACCGCCGATATTAAACATCCTTTAAATGCCTTTAAATGCCGTTTTATATGCATATGTCAACACAAGCTATAAAATTGTGTCAGAATAACAAAAAAGATCATTTTCCAATAACATATAAAAATTTTTAGCTTTGATTGAAAAGACTTTGAAATATTTAAAAGGTTCAAGTTTTCAAGGGAAACCCTTGTATATATTCAGAAAAGAAACTTTGATGTCTGTCATGTTATTTTTATTTTAATTACTTGAAATGTGTACATTTTATATCCAAGCCACAATTTGGAATATTTTTCTAGTCCTTACTATAAAATGGTAGCTGGTACACTTTATAATAGTTAATTTAATCTATAATTTTAGACGAGAATTAAAATTAACAGTACAAAATAACTCTGGGTAGCCTACATTGAAAACTGGAAATCCTCACATACATGTAACATATTGTAAATACTTTGATGGAGAAAAAAATAATCATTTTCCTTTTAAAACCATTCTGCCATGAAAAAAATATTTCCTCACGTTATGTTTTTTTTTTTTGTGGAATTAACCGTTGATTTTTAATTGAATATAGTTACATTGGCTCTATATAATAAAAATTATAAAAATCAAAATGGGTTGCTGAATTAAAAAAAAACTTCACACAAAACTCTATTTAAACGTATAGATCAAACCTCATTTGAACGGGAAGACATTGCCAATTATCTGCCCCCAAGACCATAAACTAAGAACATACTTAAGTCAAAATCTCAAAACAATACATCTTTCGAAATACTTTTGATAAGAAAATAACAAAACAAAAATTTGTTTCGCATAATTTTAAATTTCTAAGCTTTTATGTTGATTTAAACTTATTGAAGATATTATAAATCAAAATTCTGGCTTAAATCTTTTCTCAGTTTATGGTGTTGGGTCCTGAATAGACAAGTATCAGATGGATATTTAAAAGATGTTTGATAAAAACAATTTATCTTTCTGTTTTAGTTATTGAA